TACTGTATGATTCCTTTATTATTAGCTTATATTACTGTTACTACGTTATTATCATAGGGGAGAGTTCATTGTTACATTTTCACATGTTTGTAATATATTCTTATCAATCTCACCCCCCTGTGTCTACTACTGTGTGGTTTTATAAGTCTGAAATTTTGGAGAGGTGGAATTCTAGAGTATTTTGGCCTAGACTGGCTTCAAGAATCGAATCATGGGCTGGGAAGGTGGCTCAGTGGTAGAGCGCTTGCCTTGCATGCCTGAGGCCCTGGGTTCGATTCCTCAGCACCACATAAGCAAAAAGCCGGAAGTGGCACTGTGGCTCAAGTGGTAGAGCGCTAGCCTTGAGCTGAAGAGCTGAGGGACAGCGCCCAGGCCCAGAGTTCAGGCCCCACAACCGGACCCCCCCCCAAAAAAAAAAAAAAAAAAAAAAAGAATCGAATCATTTTGTGAAAACAAGAGGTTCAACTGACTCAAGTTCAGCTTGTAAAATCTGAGTAAAATACTGTATATGGAAATTTCCCTTCATCTAGGTGTTTTACATAAAAAAAAGACAATCTCAGCATTTAAACACTAGTAGACTAGGAAGGTGTTCTTATGTATTAGGGAAATAGATGGTGTGCGTTCATTGATCCCTTCCTGGAAGCTGTGTAGACCTATTCCAGCACCAAGTGAAAGCACAAATTACAGAATCAGACTTCTGGCAGCTCTGCTACTTCTCTCTCTCTCTCTTGTCAGTCGTGGGACTTGAACTCAGGGCCTGGGCACTGTCCCTCAGCTCTTCAGCTCAAGGCGAGCGTTCTACCACTTGAGCCACAGCTCCACTTTCAGTTTTCTGGTGGTTCATTGGAGGTAAGAGTCTCATGGACTTTCCTACCTGGGCTGGCTTAGAGCCTTGATCCTCAGATCTCAGCCTCCTGAGTAGCTAGGATGACAGGCATGAGCTACCAGCCCGATCAGTTCTTTTAATGATTTTTTTCTCTGTGTGTAGGATTCCTGATTTAAAAAAAAATCCTTTTCCCCCTGCATTTCTGATATGACAAAGTAAAAAACAATGAAGTAACAATTCAGATTTGGTGTAAATGTATGGATAATCATTACATGGCCAGATCTAGAATTAGTTGCTAGGAGATAAGTCAGCATTTGAATGATATCGAATAGGCTGTGATGTTCACAATTTAGTATAGTTAACATGGCAGAGGGGGAAAAATAGCGTAGACTGTTTGGTTCAAATTTTGGTCCACCCATTTCAAGCGAGGTCTGGTGATAAACACCTATAACCCCAGCTACTTGGGATGCATAGGTTGGAGCTTCTTCTGGAGACTGGGTTTTTGCCACAGGCAAAAATTTGCCATACTATGTCGAATCAAAAAAAAGGGCTGAGGATGCGGCTCAAGCGGTAGACCCTATGCATAGCAAGCAGAAGGCCAAGAGTTCAAACCCAGGTCCTGCCTTCACACACGTCCACTGGTCACTTGTAGCCAGGTGTGGGATGCCGTGGAAGGAGGTTGGGAGTTCAGGGCCGCTAGTGAAACCCTTCACAAAAGGGAGTAGGGATGGTTTTATGGGAGGTGACTTCACACAGATTTTCTGAGTGTTCACTGTGAGGGTGGTTTGGGCCCCTCATGTGTACTCAACCGAGGGCTCAGCATGTCAGAGGCATGGGTTCTAATCCCGAGCCCCGCTGCCATAGGTGTGGGCTGACCAAAGTCAGCCACCACGATAACAGGTTAAAAAAACCTTCAGAGCTGTGTAACACTGCTTTCAATCCCATCTTTACCAACCAGACTGAGGTTTTGGAACTTGGTGCCCGCAGGGGTCACTGTGGTTATGTACTGTGCCCTGATGACGCATACAGCATCTTATTTTGCTTTTTGTTTTTTTTTTGTTGTTCTGTTTTGCCAGTCCTGGGGCTTGAACTCAGGGCCTGGGCGCTGTCCCTGAGCTGCTTTTGCTCCAAAAAGCAAGCACTCTACCACTTGACCCACAGTGCCATGTCCGGCTTTTTCTGTGTATGTGGTACTGAGGAATCGAACCCAGGGCTTCACGCATGCTAGCCGAGCACTCTACCACTGATCCACCTCCCAGTCCTTGTTTTTTTAAGCCGATACTGGGGCTTGAACTTCAGGCCTGGGTGCTGTCCCTTAGCTTCTTCACCCAAGGCTGGCACTCTACGACTTGAACCATACTTCTACTTCCAGATTTTTGGGGGTTAATTGGAGATAAGAGTCTCACGATACTTTCCTGTCCAGGCTGGCTTTGAACCATGATTCTTAGATCTCAGCCTCCTGAGTAGCTAGGATGACAGGTCCGGCTGTTTTTGGGTAGTTCCTCTGCCATATCGTTTATCTATACCACATTGCTATAATGAGACTATTAAGTATGAAGTACTAATGGTATTTAAAAAACAAAACTAAACTAAATTAACTGCAGAGGGGAGTGGTCCACATGCCCCCTCTGGGGTTTGCCGCTGTTGAGTGATTGTAGGTGGCCACCGTTTCACAGCAGTGGCAGTCATTGGTGTGTCCGTTTGACATTTTGATTTCAAAGATCCCATTATAGTCTTGCTCCAGATGCCGTGAGTTCCTCAGTGACAGGCATAAGGCTTTGTTGGCTGTAAGGTGCTTTTATAGATGTCTGGTTAGTATGTCTGTCTGTAGTGCCTCAGTGTGAGCATGCTCTGTCCCTGTAGGGCTGGTGTGTGGGCTGCAGGTTCCTTACAGCCCAGTTCCTGACGCTATGTGAACCCCAGCCGTGACCACAGCTGATGGTGCTGAGTGCAGGAGGGGCTTTCAGAACAAGACATGTGTTCCATGTAGGTCAGTCTCAAGGAGAAGTGTCCTTTGTCATTGTATATTGGAATGGCCACCAGATTTCTGTGTTCCTCACGGGAGTATGCATTTAGTTTCCTGAATATTCCTACAATTGTAATTGACATTTTCTGACTGGAGTCTCTTTGTGAGGAGCCAACTTGGGAGTGTATAGAAGAGTGTTCTGATCTGGGGATGTAAGAAGATACTCATCTCCTTTGTTTTGTAAGGACAATTATGCCATCTTCATATGCTGTATTGTCCCAGCGTTGCCAGTCCAGTCCATCATATGGTCATTTGTAGAGTCTTTGTTTTTTCTTCTTCTTCTTTTTCTTTTCCTCCTCCTCCTCCTCCTCCTCTTCCTCTTCCTCCTCTTCTTCCTCCTCATTCTCCTTCTCCTCCTTCTCCTTCTTCTCTTCTTGTTCTTTTGGCCAGCCCTAGGGCTTGAAATCAGAGTCTGAACACTGTCCATAAGCTTTTTTTTTTTTTGCCAGTCCAGGGGGTCTGAACTCTGGGCCTGGGCGCTGTCCCCCAGCTCTTCAGCTCAAGGCTAGTGCTCTACCACTTGAGCCACAGCGCCACTTTGTTTTTTTCTGTTTATGTGGTACTGAGGAATCAAACCCAGGGCTTCATAGGGCTTCATGCATGCTAGGCAAGCACTCTACCACTAAGCCACATTCCCAGCCCCATAGTTACTCTTAAGGAGACAGATTTGAAGGAAACACACATGTGCACATACTAATGTCTTGGAAAGAACTCTACTAACAATAACAGGAATTTACTAAGCTGTCATTAAAGACAGTTCCTTTCTTGTTTTATGGTGTGTATTGTAAGTCTCTAGAATGCACTGCTTACAAATAGCTGGGTAGTTACTTGTTCGAAACTATAGTGTAGAAGAAGGGCTGCCATTTGCTGAGCTCTTACACCCACCTGGGATCGTTGAAGTTAATGCTGTCTTTACCTTAGGGCAAGGAAATCCAGGCTCTTAAGACATTAATTATTCCCCATGTCACCCAGAAGTGTTGAAGACCAGTGTTGTTCCACAGCCTGTGCAATTAGAAGCATGTGTGCAATAGTAAGACCTGTTGTTCTCGGCCTCAGCCAGTCACCCTAGCCTTAGTGACGTGTCTGGAATGAAGGTGGGTGCTGAGACAGGTGAATGCGAAGCGGTCGGACTCTTCGGCCTTGGAACTCTTCTCTGGGTTGAGAGAGAATTGTTTTCTGGTGTTGGTGACAACCTTTCACGTATCATTGACATACAATATTTTTTCACATATTTAAAGTATATAAGTTTTTGCATATGTGTGCATCTGTGAGAACTTCATCCTTGTGTCAGAAAAACCCATAATAAAACAAAGATTGGCTGGGGTGACTTAAGTAAGAATTACTATAAGTCTTTTTGCATCTTATATTGATAAAATTTTCTTAAATATACTTCTGTGCTTCAGAAAGACTTGTTTTTTGTTTTTTCCTCCAGTCCTGGGTCTTGAACTCTCTCCCTGAGCCTAGCTGTTCAAGGCTAGTGCTCTATCACTTGAACCACAACACCACCTCTATCACTTGAACCACAACACCACCTCTATCACTTGAACCACAACACCACTTCCAGCTTTTTCTGTGTATGTGGTACTGAGGACCTGAACCCAGGGCTTCATGCAGGCTAGGCAAGCGCTCTACCACTGAGCCACATTCCCAACTCCAGAAAGACTAATTAATTGAAGACTTCTGGTAGGTGCGGTATTGGTACATTCTCTGATTTGAATCACCTTAAATGGCACATTAAGTTCTCTGTGATATATTGTTTGTAATAACTGTTTTCACCCCTCCATTTGTCCTTTTCTCGGACTGAGAATATCTGACTAGAATACAAAGAATGACGCAAACACTGGACTGCATGGTTCAGTTATTTCTGGAATGAGAATAAATGGAATCGAGTGTTGTTCCAAGAAAGTACATAATTCATTTGTTAGAAGTTTGGCCTCAGTAGAGCTTTTAATATTATCAAAAGTAAGTGACTGTTACTCAGAAGGCTGAGATCTGAGGATTGTGGTTCGCAGCCAGCCAGGGCAGCAAAGTCCATAGGACTCTTGTCTCCAGTGAACCACTAGAAAACTGGAGATGGTGCTGTGGCTTAGAGTGGTAGAGTGCTAGCCTTGATCAAAAGAGCTCAAGGGGCCGCAGAGACGCCCCGCCCCCGCGCGGCGCTGCGGAACCGGAGCTCCGGGCGGCGTCGGCAGCGGCGCGGGAGGCGACGAGGCCAGGGTGGCAGGAGTCCGCGCGGCGACCGCAGCGAGAGCGGCGGGGACGGAGCAGACCACGACGAAGGCGTACAGGCGGCCGGGCCGGGCCGGGCCACAGGGAGAGCGGCCTCCGGGAAGCGGGCTGGAGGCCGGGCGGACAGCCGGCAGTGGCCGAGCCGCGAAGCGACATGGTGTTGCTCAAGGAGTATCGAGTCATCCTGCCTGTGTCTGTAGATGAGTATCAGGTGGGGCAGCTGTACTCCGTGGCTGAGGCCAGTAAAAATGAGACAGGTGGTGGTGAAGGTGTGGAGGTCCTGGTGAACGAACCGTATGAGAAGGATGGTGAGAAAGGCCAGTACACACACAAGATCTACCACCTACAGAGCAAAGTACCTACTTTTGTTCGCATGCTGGCCCCAGAGGGAGCCCTGAATATACACGAGAAAGCATGGAATGCCTACCCATACTGCAGAACTGTTATTACAAATGAGTACATGAAAGAAGACTTTCTGATTAAAATTGAAACCTGGCACAAACCAGATCTTGGCACCCAAGAGAATGTGCATAAACTGGAGCCTGAGGCATGGAAACATGTGGAAGCCATATACATAGACATTGCAGATCGAAGCCAAGTACTTAGCAAGGATTACAAGGCAGAAGAAGACCCAGCAAAATTTAAATCTATGAAAACAGGGCGAGGACCATTGGGCCCAAATTGGAAGCAAGAACTTGTAAATCAGAAAGACTGCCCATATATGTGCGCATACAAACTGGTTACTGTCAAGTTCAAGTGGTGGGGCCTGCAGAACAAAGTGGAAAACTTTATACATAAGCAAGAGAAACGTCTGTTTACAAACTTTCACAGGCAGCTGTTCTGTTGGCTTGATAAGTGGGTTGACCTGACGATGGATGACATTCGAAGGATGGAAGAAGAGACGAAGAGGCAGCTGGACGAAATGAGACAAAAGGACCCAGTGAAAGGAATGACAGCAGATGACTAAACTCACTCCTCCCCCTTCTGCACTTTTTGCAAGACAGTGGTCAACAGGAAGGCCCAGCAGCTCCACCCTCCTGAGTGACAGGCCATCTTCGGACGCAGCCTTTCTGTGCCCATTCTTCAGGCAACTTCCGATCCATCCCTTACTGTAGCTAATTCTAGATGCCCTTTAATATTGTGAACAAATAGACCGTCTGGTATTACAAAGCCTGTGTGCTCGGGAGCCTGCTCCTCTGAGAAACGTGGCGGGTAGGTTGCTGTATTAACAGCTCCTCCCTCTCTCTCCATTGTATTCTGACCCATTTCTGTGTGTGCCCCCAACCTTTATTTCCAAGTGACATTTTTAGTCTTTCAAAATAAAAAAAAAAAAAAAAAAAAAAAAAAAAAAAAAAAAAAAAAAAAAAAAAACAAAAGAGCTCAAGGTCAGCGCCCAGGCCCTGAGTTAAAGACCCATGACTGATGCACACACAAAAAAAGGTATACGATGGATTATGGCAGTGTTCTTCAGATGAATTATTTTTTTCTGATGAAAACCACAATCTCCATCAGGCATCTGGTGTTGAAGGGTCTTGGTTTGTATCATGGCTACACAGTGTGGGATGGTCATATTTACTGTGGAACAAGCATGTGTGAAATTACCGGTTGATCCTGTGTGGAACAGGTTGGGCTGAATCCTAATTTGCAGGCTGCAGATTGGAGGGCCCACAGGCTCCTCTCCCATCTTGAGCTGTTTGGTCTTGACGCCGTGGTCGGAGGCTAATGTGGGTCTTTTGTGTCGGTCCCAGCACATGCAGATGACGATCCAGGCTCTGCAGGATGAGCTGAGGATCCAGAGGGACCTGAACCAGCTGTTCCAGCAGGACAGCAGCAGCAGGGCCGGTGAGCCGAGCGTGGCAGAGCTGACGGAGGAGAACTTCCAGCGGCTGCAGGCTGAGCACGAGCGGCAGGCCAAGGAGCTGTTCCTTCTGCGGAAGACCCTGGAGGAGATGGAGCTGCGGATTGAGACCCAGAAGCAAACCCTCAGTGCTCGGGACGAGTCCATTAAGAAGCTTTTGGAGATGTTGCAGAGCAAAGGACTGTCCGCCAAGGCCACCGAGGAGGACCACGAGAGGACGAGGCGGCTGGCCGAGGCCGAGATGCACGTCCACCACCTGGAGAGCCTCCTGGAGCAGAAGGAGAAGGAGAACAACATGCTGAGGGAGGTGAGGCTGCGTGCTCCCACGGCGCTGCCCGCCAGCTCCAGGGTGCCGTGAATCCATGGGCTTTCCTGTGCTGCGAAGCGGGAAGTTCGTCTCTTATGTTTCCATTTACACTGCTTTTCTTTGATATACTCTCTCCTGGGGTGACATCATCTGCTTTCTGTGTTGCTTGGCAACCTCTTCCACCTTGCACATGCACACATGCACGCATGCACCTGATTTCTAGAGGCTCATTTGTTGCTAGAAGGGCACAGAATTTCCTTGATTTGTTACCTGCCTCCAGATGTGTTCATAGGGACAACACAGCAAACCTAGCTTCAGAGCAGCTGAGTGCTGCTCTTTTAAAACACTAACAGGAGAAAGCAAGCCTGAAATATCAGTAAGAGAACCATCACCCCTGTTTCTGTGTGTGGATCAAGTCCTTGGATGCAGTAGCGGATGTTTGCCCTGCGGTTCCCATGGAAACCACTGCCTTGCTATAAAAGACATGTGATTAAAGTCGCTTGCTGCCAGGGAGGTGCCCAGAGGCCTCACCCCTCCTAGCCAGTGCAGCAGTTGTATTCAGAATGCCAGAGCGCGCCATGCCGCTGTTTACTCAGGGGAAGGTAGACGAGGTGTGTTGAGGAGATGGGGGAGGGAGAGCCAGGGCTGGACCAGGAAGTGGGTAAGGACCGGATGGCTTGAAATGCCCCGGGTGTGATAATAAAAGATCGGGGATCATCCATACCCTCACCTTTGTCCTCACTGGCGGAGGGGCAGGCATTATTGGGATTTCTAAGATGGTCCTGGGAGTTCTGCGACGTTCCATCTTCAGAACTGCTCTGCGAACCAACGTTGAAACACAGTTACTGGGTGTAGAGAAAGTTAGGAAAACAGTTCATAAAAGCACGTTTAAAAAGGAACGCTTTCAGCCAGTGTTAATGAAAAGTTCTAAAGCTTTGCACTAGGATGTATTTGGAGGCACTCCCCCTCCTGTTTTTCCACCAGGAAGTATAGCACTGGTGAATGATTCTGTATATAGAAAGAAAAGCTTCTCCCAGTAAACCAAAAAGAATAGCTAAGCTTTATGCTGAGCACCACCTTTGTGCTATGTGTTCCCTGGCTTGCTGCTTAGTCCTCTCCTTTGATTGATAGAGTGAGGACATCTATTGGACAAATGCTGAATTACAAGCCAGACAGGGTTTGTGCTTAGGATGGAGACCTAAACTTCCTACCAGTCTGTTGGCAGTGGACACTGAGATGGCCGTGCACTTTCCATCTTCATTCTGTCTGTGCACACAAACTCAGTAGCAGAGCCAAGCCGGTGGCATGTGCTCCTGTTCTTTAACATGCAGCCAGATGCCCTGTGCTCTATAAAACACAAGTTCACTAAAACACTCTGTTTGTAGTTGGCTGGTTTTTGTTCCCGTAGTATTTTAACAAACAAACCTAGCCTTGCAGGCTTGCAGAAATGCTTGAGGAGAAAGTGCTAATGTTGGAGTCGATTCCAGGTGAGGGCTTCAGAAACGGTCCTAGATGGGGAATGTCTGTCGTCCAGTGGCAGTTGGACGATATAAGCAGATTAGAGGGACAAAAGATACAGAGAAGAGAAACACAAAATGCACACTGAATCTACAGGCTAGAGACCAGGGCTGGGAAGGTGACTCAGTAGTAGAGCGCTTGCCTTGCATATATGAGGCCCTGGGTTCGATTCCTCAGCACCACATGAGCAAAAAGAAAAAAGCCAGAAGTGGTGCTGTGGCTCAAGTGGTAGAGCGCCAGCCTTGAGCTGAAGAGCTGAGGGACAGCGCCCAGGCCCAGAGTTCAGGCCCCACAACCAGACCAAAAAAAAGAAAAAGAAAAGAAACACAATTTTGTTTTTAACTTATTTTCTAACTCTAGCTTATTTCTTCTCATAGAGTATGTTGACAATGTGACAGAATCCATGTAATTCTGCATCTATTGCAATTTTCCCCCCTTAATCTTCTTTTTCTTTGCTCTTGGGGGTAGGAGAAGGGCCTCTCTGTAGCCTGGGCCGGCCTGGCATGTGAGGTCAGCCTGCCTCAACCTCCCTCAAGTGCCATATAGGCAGAGACCACTGTGCCTGGCTAATTCACTTTTAATGGAAGTTTTTCAGGCCACTGGGAGTGTCACAAAGCTGTTGTATGGAATGTTCTTACACTTGTGTGAATAGCACATTCGCTTGAGTACAGTCTCTTCCCTGTGCATGAGTCAGAGTCCTGGTGTACATGGTGGGAACTGCAGATGGGCTCCTCATGATGGTGATTTGCCTCAAAGTGAGAGAGGTTGCTGTCTCGTAGAAAGACTCCATCCTGCGAACGGTGCAGCTTCTTTCCTATCCTAAGCTTATTGAAGTGTGGGTTAAAAAAAGAGACCCATGAAGCCAGACACTGGTGGCTCACTCCTGTAATCCTAGCTACTCAGGAGGCTGAGATCTGAGGATCGCAGTTCAAAGCCAGCTCAGGCAGGAGAGACTATGAGACTCATCTCCAATAAACCACTCAGAAAGGGCCAGAAGTAGTGCTGTGGCTCAAGTGGTAGAGCACCAGCCTTGAGTAAAAGCAGCTCAGGGCCAGCACCCAAACCCCAGGACCTGCAAAGAGAAAGAGAGAGAGAGAAAGAGAGAGAGAATGTGCGTCAGGTGCTGGTGGCTCATATCTGTAATCTTAGCAACTCAGGAGGCTGAGATCTGAGGATCATGGTTGAAAGCCAGCCCTGGGCAGGAAAGTATGTGAGACTTTTTTTTTTTTCCAGTTGTAGTAGGGCTTGAACTCTGGGCCTGGGCACTGCCCCTCATCTCTTCAGCTCAAGGCTGGCATTCTACCACTTGAGCCACAATGCCACTTCTGGTTTTCTGGTAGTTCATTGGAGATAAGAGTCTCACAGACTTTGCTGCCTAGGCTGGCTTTGAATCAAGATCCTCAGATCTGAGCCTCCTGAGTAGCTAGGATTACAGGTATGAACCATTGGTGCCAGCTACGGCTACCGGCTACCTACCGGCTACCGTGAGATTCTTATCTCCAGTTATCCTCCAGAAAACCAGAAGTGGTGCTGTGGCTCAAGTGGTAAAGCACTAGCTTTGAGCTGATGAGCTCAGGGACAGTGCCCAAGGCCAGAGTTCAAGCCCCACAACCAACAGAGAGAGAGGGTGGGGGGAGGGAAAGAAAGGAGAGAGGGGGAGGGGGGCATGTATCTTTGTCTGGCGTTTTCTCACGTGAACGACTTGACACTTGCCCAGCAGCCTTCCCTTTCTCCCTGGGCCCGCTCTGCGGAGGTGACCAAGTGGTTGGCACTCTGGGGTGGATGCCGTGGTGAGATCAGTGGCACGGATGCTTCCAGCGTTGAGGGGTTTAGTTTCTCTTACGAAGGGGACCTTGTCTGGTCCCCCTTTCTGGGTGAGTTCATGCCTCCAAGTCGCCACCCTAGAGAGGCGACGCTGTTCAGACAGCCTCAGGGTAACTAGCTTGAGTGACGCGGTGCTGGCAGGCAGGCAGGCAGGCAGGCAGGCAGGCAGGCAGGCAGGCAGGCAGGCAGGCAGGCAGGCAGGCAGGGATGCTCCTACACCCGCCCTGCCATTCAGTCAGCCTGCAGTCCCCATCCACACAGCCATGCTCCTCACAAAGGTGGGGGTCACGAGCAGCTGAGCTCCCGTTCCCTCTCCCTCTCTCTCTCCCTTTAAAATGAGAAGGAAGCCCTGACTCTCTTCTGCTTCTCTCATGTAGGAGATGCACCGGAGGTTTGAGAATGCCCCCGATTCTGCTAAAACAAAAGCTCTGCAAACCGTTATTGAAATGAAGGTAAGTGAGACTGGAGTGATGGACCTGGCTTTGCGCTCAGGTCTCATGCTTAGTAGGCAGGCCCTCTACTACTTGAACAATGCCTCTGGCCCCTTTCTACTTTTTTGTCCTTTTGGAGGTTAAGGTATAAGAATCTTACAAGTCACTCTTTCAAATGTAGCGCATTTTCTATATGAGTTTTAGAAAATGATTGGAGATGGAGTGGAAGTCATAGACTTAGCTGGGATTACAGGTATGAGCCACAGGGCCTGGCCCTAGCTTTTTGTTCTTATAATGGCTCTTAACAGACGGAGGCATGCCTCCCATCTGTTTAACTTTACCTCCCCTAAGAAGGGTGGCGCCTTGTTTAATATAATG